TATCAAGCGCAGAGAGCACGCCATGACGCTGCGCTTTTTGCGCTGTTTGATTGGCCCTTCGGCTTATAACATCGGCCGCGCTCGGACCGAAGCTGAAACGAAGTATAGTATCAAAGAGGAACCCCCAGTCATTAATAGACGTTGACATCTGCTCCAAAAGGATCACTGAATGCTCCAGACAAATGTTTTGCCTGTTACAGAACCTGCAACAAAAAAGGTCAAACGCCGCTTCCATGACTGGGATCTCTGTAACTACGTATGTTAAAATTATGTTTTTGTTATCATGAATATTGCGCGCCTATAGTGTCCCGTGTCGAAACTATTTCATATTGTCAGCATCAGTTCTTTCATTCTCATTAGACGTGCTTTGTTGAAACATGCCAACATGGCACAAGGTGGATGAATGCATCCACCTTACATCTTTTTTTTTTATTTTACTCTAACTTTGAATGTAGTATTTAAATGCTTATCTATATGATTATTTATTTTGTTTTTACTCGTTTATATTTATTTACTTATTTTCTGGCCCTCAAGACAGCGATAGATGCCCGATCCGGCCCCTTAGCCAAAAAGTTTTGAGACCCCTGGTCTAAAGGGTTAGAGTGGCGATGTGGGTGAGTTGGTTCATGTTTAAGCAATATGTAAAGCAGCGCGCAAAACAACAAGACGGGAGAAAAGAGGTACACAGGACGAACGCTGAATTGACAACTAAATGTTGAAAAAACGCCCAACGAAGTAAACTACCAAATCACCATCGCGCCATCACGTGTCCAAGTAGGTTATCTCTTTCTGTGCAAGAAAGTTTGGCTTCGCTGTTGTTTTTTCCCTCCTTATTTATTCCATCAGCTCCTCTCCCAATGATCGTGATGTCGAAAATATGACTGAAAGAAGTGAAGCAATGCATGGGTAATTGACTCCTCCTCGCCCCCGCCCCCTTCGCTTTTCATCGAAGCGACCAGTCATGCTGCCGTGTTCTATCGTTAATGCACCGGCCTGCTGTCCAGTGTAGACCCTCCTCCAACAACTCAGCGGAATATTATACACCACGCTTATCGCACATTACACATACTTTTTTTTTTTGTGTTTCACAGCTCAATGGCTCCTACTCCCCCCTTTATCGGTGATTCTAGGGCAATGTTGGGCCGCTTTTCGGGGTTTATCGGTCTTTATCGAAAATACGGAACCCTTGCTATGACGGTTCCGTGTTTTTGGTGGTTTATTTTTCTTCAAGTACGGGGGTGTTTCATGGGGTTTACTATTTTGTCCTGATTCAATGGTTTCCGTCATAAATTTTCGGTATCAGACAAAACATCGGTGTCTGTCGGGACTCGTGTTTAACAAGTTAGGGCATGGAATTCCTTCACCTCCAGAAAACTGACGCGTGACCCAACTTCGAAATCGTCCTTGTACCGGCAAGACAAAGAAACGAAATAAGAAGCCTTGTAAACAATCTGTTGGGGGCTGTTTTTTTTTTTTTATTATTATTTAAGGACAGTTTTGATTCGGGGTTTATGGCTTTTTTCCGATTTTAATAAATTCGACTCGGGGTTTAGCTTTTGGGGTTTATCGGTATTTACCAAAAAACACGGAACCCTAGCTACAACGCTGCTCGGTTTTTCATGTTTGTTGTCATAGTTATCGCGTGGGGTTTAAAACGATCGCAATTCTTACGAATATCCGTGATATACGTGTACGCCGTATTTAGCGAAATCGAAAGCAATGCATGGTGTCTTATCTTCAATAAAAAAAAAACATACGAATAGTAGTAACAATCATACTTTATTTTGCCCAACGCTGTACACGCTCCTACATGGAACACACAATTGCATAGGGTGCTCAAAACCCAATACCTAAAAGCAAGAACTCAAACCATCACAAATAAACTAAGCAGACGCCAAATACTCGGATAACTTGGAATGTCCCTCGGTTGATATACAAAGACCACTCACTCACCAGTGAGCGATATTTGTTGATTTGTCACTGATAGACTCAGTGGCTCGACATTTTGGTGAAACACGGCTAGGGTATGAATGACTGTTTTTATTTGATAATCAACATGACATTTGTTTTGAAGCTAAAATACAAATAACCGCTTTGAGGGATTCGTGTGCGTTGAAGGCCGCAAAAAGGTGTCCTAGTTCGCGATTTTCCGGCACATGGCGAGGCACCATGACGTGCTTTGCAAGATAAGAAGAAACAACAACTATATTTTGAGTAATAGTAATTATGAAATAAATCGAGTACCAAGCGAATTGTCGACTCGTATTCGAAATTTTCGCTAGTTCATGGTCTATCGATTTCACTAAATAATTCCTTGGCCAGCAGTGTGTAAAACTTTCCAACATTCGCTATACTCCGGCGATTTCTTCAGGGTCCCCGATTTGCTTGAAATTTTGCTAAACTCGCCAAACAACATCGCTAAAATAGTATCCCAAATATTAGGTTAAAATAATTTTTTTTCACGAAGGTATTGCATTTACAATTTTGGTCCTCACCGTGTTTTTCCAACTGAAAGTCTCTACTGGCAACAACGAAAAAGTGACGTCAGTGGAAGTGCAGGGGTTCACTCTTTGGACTGTAGAATTTGTTCCCAACTGATTTGAAGCAGTTTCATGGAGTCAAATGAATGCTTTGGAAGCTCGCTCCAGACCCCGCGCTCCAGCACGGAACAAATGATTGGCATATTCTATTTTTTAGACTGCTCGCTCGACTGGCAATCCTGCCCGCCAACGTCACGGCACTGAAAAGTGCGGGTATATTTGAATGTTGGTTTTTGCATCATTTTCATTTGCCGATGTCGCAATAACTATTATGAATTTCGTGATACTTAACAGCATACCGGAAAGGGTAAAGGCCGGGGAGTCAGAAAATATAGTTAGTTGAGATAGCTAAAAAAAAATCGTCGGAGTACCCCTTTAAAACCGCGTACATACCGTCAAAATGTCCCTTCAAAATTTTATATATATATATATATATATATTGGTGGCTTTGCATTTTTGCTTTTTAAGTCGAATGACTACATATATGCCGCCGGGAAAATCTAGAAGTTTCTATGGTCTGTCGCAACATAAGATCGGCGTACGCGAAGCAAAACACCCCGAAAGGCAAACGAGCGCAGGTTGGGGCCGAAGCATCTACTGCTGATCTCATGTTGCAACAAACTATACGGTAAGAATCTGAGGGAGAGGAGGATATGATATCGCGCGGGGACAGCAGAGCGCCGAGCTTCGATAATGATTTGTGGGTAGACGCAAAACAGAACCAGCTGCCTTCGTCTCTACTACGACGCCTAGAACGCGTCTCCGATTGATGTCTTCAGCGTCGTCCTATTCCGCCCTTGCATCGGAAAAGGTCCCGAAGTGGCAACAAATGACGTTAGAAAAGCCGGAGTATCGTGCTGTCGGATGCCGCGATCTTGGTGGTTGAGCGTAGAAGTTTTGGAGAAACAAAAATATGCACGAGAGAAGCCGGGTGTCGCTGTCATCGCGGCATCCGAACTCCTGGCTGTCGGAGTTTCCGTAGACTGTCCAAACTGGAGCGCGTCTTGCAGCATGACAGGCGTCTGCCATATATATCCACCATCGCTGCTAATATGACACCCCCAGGATCTCGACCGGCGACATGACGCTTCTATTTATTTATTTCAAATACCCTCAAGGTAAATACATTGAAGCGGAGAGCGAGCTATAAAATATTTACAATGTGCACATATTCGTAAGAATATCCTTAAACAGGAGAGTATCAGTGATGTTCGCAATCGAGGCGGGAAGGCGGTTTCAATCCAAGGACGTTTGAGGCATGAAAGAATATTGAAATAACGATGTTTTGAAATTTCGAATGCCGACCATCAATGCGAGCGGAGATGTAGGATGGTGGGTTAATTAGTTTTTGATGAAGGAGAGCATGCATTTTGGTAGAATATTTTATGAAAAAGATACAAACGAAATATTTTACAGCGATGAATAAGTGATGGCAAACCTAAAGTATTTTTCATTGTAGTGACGCTGGCGGTGCGGTGATAGTTTGTCAGAATGAGACGGGCTGAGCGGTTTTGAATGGATTCAAGTATGGTAATTAGTGACAAGTGAGCAGGGTCCCATACAGCTGCAGCATATTCCAATTTTGGACGACTTAAGAGTTTTGTACATGGTTAGTTTCAGTGAAGACGGAGCGAGAAAGAAATTTCTTTTCAAGTACCCTAACATGCGGTTAGCACTGTTAACTACGTATTCGACATGTATCTTCCAAGAAAGGTTAGACGTTATGTGAACTCCAAATATTTATAATCAGACACTGCAGCGAGAGGTTTACTGTTAAGGTGGTAGGTATGACACATATTGAGAACGTGATATTCTCATTGATTTGCATTTGTCAGTGTCTAGTTCCCTTAGCCACTGGTTACACCATAGCGTTATCAGATTAAGGTCAGATTGTAAAAGGAAAGTGTCAGATATGACGTCATTAGGCGGAAATAGAGACAGCGTAGTCTCTACTCACTGTTCGAACGCCAAGCGCCAGCGTCCGGCGTTGGAGCTCGAGACGCTGCACGAGGAACAGACGACGCTCTCGGTACTCTGATTGGAGGGAGACGGTGGGCAGAGACAAAGGCCTTTGCTACGGTCAACACGACGAATCATTCTAATCAGAGCTTGGTGCTCCGACGTCCCGGAGCGCTCTCATCTCCTCCTCTCCCTCTGCTTTTCACCCTTTCCAATGTTTACAAATCCACAGCCCAGTGTGCGATCTCTACAGCCTACAGCACGCCCGTATTCGTGGCTTCCGAAAGCGTGCGAAGCACGGGCCATATACAAACGAACTTTGAAGATGGCCACCGGCCAGAAGCCCATCTCTAGAATGGTCGATCTATACCGTGACGCGGACAGCCCTGGAGTGCATATGTGCCACCTTGAGGAAGGATGGCCTTTGGCGCACCCGTCTTCTCTACTCGACGGATGGCGTGCTCAAATGGAAGCGTTAACAAGAGCCGACACGGGGCGTGTTCAGCCCCAGACCCTAACGCTCGAGTCCCAGGAACCGGTCACCACGACCACTCCGTCCGGACTGATGGTCAGCGCGGTCACCTTGTTCTCGTGGCCGGTCAGCGTACCTAGAAGAGGTGAAGGATGTGATTACACGGCGATCGCAAATGGCAACCACACTCCCGATAAGAGATTGACAAAGACAACCGCGGTGGCTGGAACATGTGAAATCGCCCCACGCCGGTCAGACCGTTCCCACCTTTCTATCTCGGGGGTGCTTCGACCCATACCAGAATATTAGACCTGCGCATGACGTCGTCGTTAGGAGATCCCAAACGGCAAACACGCTGAAGATCGCCGAGAGTCGCGCCGCAAAGCGTCGCCCTTGGCTCGTTGGGAGACTTCGAGACGGTGCAAAACGCGAGGGAGGCGGCACTGCGTGGATCTAGTAATGTCTTCTGGAAAGGGGGGGGGACATGCGCCGTGATCTTCCGTCGAGCTTTGACGCGCGTATCTAACGAGACTCCAAGATGCTGTGGAAGGTAAAAACCTCGCACTGGAGGCGGGGGATATCTGGAGGACCTTTCCTGCTTGCGGACAGGTGGAACATTTGGGGTGGTTATCATTTGAGCCCGTTCTCGTTTCGACCTTCTCACCTGGCCCTTCTCAAAACAACCATTCTCAAAAAAGATCTTCTCTCTTGGACCTGTCGCATTTGGTCCTTTCCCGTTTCGTCTTTCGCATTCCAACCCTCCTCATTTGGGCCTGTTCTCGTTTCGCCCTTTTCACCTGGCCCTTTTCAAAACATCCATTCTCAAAAATATCTCGCCTTGACCCGTCGCGGTTGAATCGTCTTTTTAGGGTAATATTAATACACTGATATAATTTGTTTGTGTGTGCGTGTGTGTGTGTGTGTGTGTGTGCGTGCGTGCGTGTGTGCGTGCGCGCGTGTGTGTGTGTATGTGTGTGTGTGTGTGTGTGTGTGTGTGTGTGTATGTGCCACACTACAGGAATACTCTCTCCGCTAAGGATTTTAACAGTGCGTCGAGGTCGTCGTGAAAAGCTACTAGCTGGCAATAAAACAGACCAACTATTTATCGCAGCCAGATCATATTCCGAAATGTCACGTTGTTTGCGGTCTCTCGACTTTGGACAACGCCACCACTTCTATAATGCAGTGGTTCTCTAAAGGAGGTCCGCGAAGGCCTCCTAGGGGTCTCTGCGAAGCCCTGTCTCATCAGTCAGGCACGGCAAGATTAGGTGTCTTTCTTCACGTTGAGGAGACACGTCCCAATTTTCGGGAGAGTACTCTCGTGTGTATGTCAAGGAGATAAGTCCATTTCATACTAGCATTAGTTATATCCATTTATTAAATCATTATTATGATAACCTATACCTTTCTATTCCTCTCACCCCGAACGGGGTCCTCCATCATCTCCGCCTTTGTACAAGAGGTCCGCGAAACATTAATGGTTGAGAACCACTGCTATTATCTATGCTATTTTTGTTCAAACAAAGTTTAAAAATTCAATGCTCATCGTTCTTTTTTTTTTTTTCTCATTTGTGTAGAGGAAGAAAAGCAGGCGTCAATGTACGATTCTTAGTGCGTACCTCTACACATAACATATATCTGATGGTATGTTGGGGGCCCAAGCAAGGTAAGGCTCATTAACAAAGCCGCAAACGTATAACGATGTTAGAAGCATGCCGAACTAGTGCCATTCGGTCGTAGTGCGAACGGGCGAAATGAGAATGGGTCCAGTTGCGAAAAACACAATTCGGATCTTATGAGAAGGTTTAAACGAGAAGGACCAAATGAGAATGGGTCGAAATGTGCACGGTTCAAATGCGAATGGGACGTTTTGAGATACACCCGAACATTTGCTATGCAAAAATATCGTAGGAAAACCTAGCCTCAATTAAAAAAAAAACCGAATTGTATACTGTGTGTCGATATAGAGTTAAGTCTTCTCGAACTTGAAGTGTAAGATCATTGTTGTCGGCCACTGAAGCCATGTGAACTGGGCAAAACTTTGAAGGCTCTGTGGTCCCATCTAACAAAACTCGTGCGTAAAAAAAAAAAGAAAAAGAAGTTTGATATGATCAGATAGGATATAGGAGGTATGTATATATCAGAAAATGTTGCTGAACAAGGCGTATTTGACACGCGTGGGAGAAGATGTGCCCCACACACTTTGAGCGGTGCTCGAGAGCACGAAAAACACTCGCGCAAAGCGGCACCATGTACCGCGGATGCACCTAGACGACAAGGCCCTGTGCATGACGTCATGGTTGGTGGATCTCCGACCCGACCCAAGCGGCGCCGAATCTGATCGAGAGACGGGCACGTCTTTGCACCGTCGCGTGCTAGCGTCACGCTCGCTGCGAGACGCTGCAAGACGCGCTGGTGGCGATGCTGACGCGGCACGTAATCTTCTAAAGGTGGTATTGAGCGGGCGCGCCTCACCGATGCGCCTGGTGGACAGCGTGTCCCAGACGTGGACGTCTTGGTCGTCCGAGCCGGCCATGAGCAGCCGCCCCGAGAGCGACAGGCCGCAGCAGGTGAAGGCACTCGACTCCCGTGGGTTCTGGTAGCGGCACACCTGCTGGTCGCTGCGGATGTCGAACAGGCCGCACGTCTTGTCCTCCGACGCCGTGGCGAACGCCTGGCCGCTGGCGTGGAACTGCGGCCCCCGTCCCACAGAGCGGGGGATTACATATGGCGCTGAATTTCGGAATGGGACTAGGCAGCCACGCTTCAAAAGCGACTCTTGCCGCTGTCTATGGAAAATGCTTTATTTGGGCGCCACTCTGGCAACCGTTGGCTCTCCTTAGCGAGGTTGGGCTGTCGCACTATACTACACACGCCATAAGCAAGGTGGCGCCTCTCAGAGGCCGTACTTTGGTGGGGTGGGGGGCTATGCAAGACGGCGGGACGAAGGAACCAAGACATCGCCGCCTGCTACGATTTTTCAGCGCCACGCCGCTGACCAATTGCAGGAGGTGGCGATGTCCCGGTCACTTCGTCCCGCCATCTTGCATAGCCCCCGCCCGCCCCCCCCCCCCCCCCCCCGCCCCACCCCCCGGCAGACTTCTATTGGAACGCAGATTTTCCTGCCTGTTGTCGGAAGAGATCGGCACACTTTTATCGGGCAGAATGCATACTGGGATGATGCGGGCAGGCTACAGCAACCGTGTCCGAGCCTGCATTTTTCGACACTCACACGAGGGCCTCATTCTCATGTTAAGGTCCGTTCACATTCCTGCAACCGAGTACGACCGAGAGAGGCTATACTTGTTGAAACCCCTTAAAATTTCTTAGGACGAGAAACACACTGGCACTCTGGCTCCATTTATGCGGTGACCGTGGAACTGCGAGCGAAGGTTTTGCGGGATTTCCGAGGTCAAATGTGCGTAACCCATATAAGAAAGGCTCGTTTATAACGTTGACAAAAGATTTTCGAGCCAAGAAAGAAAGGATAATACGCGAGAGAAATAGAAAATATTTCGGACCGCCAAGTTTACACTGCTACCCAATGGATGGCGCCAGTGTGTCCTCTCGTTCAGAGCCGTACTCTCGTTGTAAGAGGTTTTAAGGCACCCAGTTCTAAGAGGTGGCAAGAGTGTGAACGGGCCTTTAGCCTTCAGTCGTTGTGAGATGTCGTTGAGCAATTATAAGGGAGAGGCCCTCACTGAACAACCTATAATGTTGAACGCATCCTGACGTGTGCTTGTCGTCTGCAAAAGTCAATAAGTTGCTGCTGCCAACTCATACCTACGGGAGCATAAAAAAAAAGAAGGGGTGAGAGAGAAGAATACAAACGGTCAACTTAAAAGTCTCAGCAATATGACGTGCTCGTTTCGATCTAGACGAGTATCACACAGACGTGCTGTCGTGTCAAGACTGGATTAACACCCGTAACCTGGAGTTAATAGCACCAGCTTGACACCGTAGTGCTGTATAGGACGCCACCATAAGGCGTATCTTCGCGCTGCCCAAACCTTTACGCAAAACATTTGACGTTTGACGAGACTTACAACTACGACGCCACCCGTCGCTGGCTCGAGTGTCGTCTCTCTAGTCCTGCCGGTTTCCAAACTCGCGGGACTAGAGAGACGCCCGTAAAACAATAATATTTCCCGATTCAAGCCTCATTGTTCTTATCGTCCGTAAAACTAGAATATTTCCCTGTCCAAGCCTCATTGCCCTTGTATGCGCTAAGAGTGAAATTATCATTTGGGACGGGTTCGAGTGACACCAGCAGTGGGTTAGCAGAGCACGAATAAGGATACAGAGATATATAGTCGGAGTATCTGAAATGGTACAAAAACTTCTACACTGAAATTATGTCCTTTACCATGCACAAGTAAGTGTTCACGTAAAGAGCGAGAATTGTATATTATGTATAAGCCGGCAGAAACACTAAATAGGTCTAAGTTCAAATAAGCACACATATGTTTTTTGTTTTTTTTCGAAGGGTTAGCAGATTTTTTATTGCACGTCACTCCCTACTAAAATGCCTCCGTCCCGTCGCCGTGTGCAGTATCCGACGTTGGTAGTGTGCTTTTGGCGGTTTGTTTAAGCTGAAACCTCGTGCCTGCTACAAAAACGTTCTTTTAAGCATCCCCTAAAAGGTTACTTCGTAAAAAACCTATAAAGTTTTTTTTTTTTTTATTCTTTGTTTTTATGCGAAAGAGTTCCTCATCGTCCAGTTGCCTTTCTAATGCGCCAGGGAGCGATAGTGCTTGAGGCGAAGCATTTCTTCACGAGCCGAAAGACTTCTCGGGGCGTCGAAAAACCTTTCAAGACCTGAATTTTTTTAGAAAATAAACTTGCATTGGGAAAAAAAGAAAAACAAATTCTATACTACCCCAGACTTCTAGCAAGCTCAATATTTTTTTTAATGTATATTGCAAAATGCCAAAACACAAATGGCAATTTTCTTCTTTTTTTTTTTTTGAGGTTGCAATTTACGTTTTGAGATGCACGTCACTAGCAAAGCGAGCATAAAGTGTATACGTTGCGCTTTTACTTACGTAGACCGAGCTCACGTCTGCCGTGTGTTCCCGGAACGTCTGGCGGCACTCCTTCTCGCGAATGTCCCACAACTGCAGGAAACAACGGGAGAATCGGTGGCCGAGTCGGTCAACGTGTTCGCGCACCGCAACTCGGAGCACGCGGAGCGAAAGCTTGCGCTGCAGAACCCAGGGGTTCCTGGGTTCCATCCCCACCCCTGCCCGTTTCGATCTGAATGAGCCTCGTACCGGCGTGCGGTCGTGTAAGACTACTGCGTGGCGCACGTTGAAGACCCAAGGCTGTCGTACTGCGCTGGCTAAATTTATCATGTTAGAACTTCAGATTAGGCGAGTTGGTAGTTCATGCTGGTCGACGGTGCAGCGCACTAAAATAAACTGTCACTCAAGCTTTCACACCCCACACAACTGGAAGATAACTCTTACAGCTTACTAACAACTTTATATTGCCGTGATTGACTTTTAGAGCGCAGCTCTTAGGGGCCCGTTTCAGGCTTGAGCGGCGTCGGCGTCGCCGTCGGCGTAACCGCGAGGTCACGTGACACCCCCAAGGTCACGTGACCCCCCGAGGTCACGTGACCCCCCCCCCCCCCGAGATCACGTGACCCCCGGAGGTCACGTGATCCCCAGAAGTCACGTGCCCCCTTGAGGTCACGTGACCCCCGAGGTCACGTGACTTCCTGAGGTCTTGTGACCCCCAGAAGTCACGTGACCCCCTAAGCTCACGTGACCCCCTGAAGTCACGTGACTTCTGGGGGTCACGTGACACCCCTAAGGTTATGCCCAGGTCACGTGACACCCCGAGGTTACGTGACCCCCTGAGGTCACATGACCCCTTCAGGTCACGTGACCCCCGAGGTCACGTGTCCTCCAAAGGTCACGTGAGCCCCTGAGGTCACGTGACCCCCTGAAGTCACGTGACCCCCTTGAGGTCACGTGACCTCAAGGAGTCACCTATCCCTCAGTACGCTTCCATCTTCCTCCTCAAGAGCTGCGCTCTAACCGGCGTTACAGGGAATTGTAAACGGCTTTCATTTTTCTTCTATTTCGACTTTAATTTGAAGAAGAAGTAGAAGCAGAAGTCAATCACGCAATACAAAGTTGTTAGTGAGCACTCTGTGAGAGTTGTGTTCCAGTTGTGTGGGGTGTGAAAACTTGAGTGACAGTTTTTCTAGTGCTCTGCTACGTCGACCAACATAAATTCGTTACTTAGAGCGGAGACATCAGGCATCCATTGGGGCTGACTAACTTCCCGGTGATCCTGCAGGATCGCGCGAAGTCTGAGTTATTTTTTTTTCGTAAGCTTTTTTGTGGACAATTAATATGTTTAGGATAAAATAATAAAAATTATTATTCGTAATAATAATAATAATATTAATAAAAACTAATATCAAACGAATTTTGTTGTCCTGACTGTTCGTTGGAAGTATCCATTTCAATAAGGACGTCTGAAATTCGTGTTTATTTTTTGTTTTTTTGTTTTCGGTAGCCGTTGTGCGATGGACTTTACGGCCATTGAAAGAAGAACTGTTCGTTTTACAAAGCCTATTTTCGAGACGACTAGGAGAAGGTGGCAGTCGAGATCTGCGATAAAACTAGACGGAACCAATATTCAGTTTTATACACTAGTACACAATGATCTAAACAAGGCTAGTGCCTTGTTTAGATCATTGTCCCGTACGGCTGCAGTGCCAAGGACACGAGAGCGCCAAGAAGACAAAGATAGGAGATCACCGCAACGCGCTTGGGGTGTCCTCTCGTCTTCTTGAATTCTGACCTCTATGGAACTCTCCTAACTGCAGTCTGTGGCAAGCTAAGAAAAGCGGTAGAAATACCCCCCCCCCCCCTCCCCCCCTCCAAAAAAAAAAAAAAAGCCCTCCGTTCCCTCATCCCTCCACTTTAGCAGAGTGAACACCGGAAAGGAGGAAGCCATCAACGTGGCTGGATGAATGGATGGATGTTAATGGCCGTACCCTTTGTAACGGGCGGTAGCTTGCGCCACCTAGCCACCGAGCATAGAGCTTTGCAGTGGTGCCAGTTTGGCGGTTTTCGGAGCTGTGTAGCGCGAAGAATAACCGTTTTGCGGATGGCAATTTTTTTTTTTTTTTTTTTGCATTAAGTCGCGTTACCGTTTTTCTTGGTGGTCTCAAATGCTCTCTAGCTTACACAACTGTATCGTAAATATAGGTTGATTTCGGTGGTAAGATACAGTCATCTTTAGCGAGCAAATTATTTTCAGTGAGCATAACGCTTCCTCTGCCATTGAGATATCGAGGTCGCGAACATAGAAACATGCTCTTATCTGATTTGTGAGTGAATGTATGAATTCGTCTTCCAAACCTGCCAGATGAAATAGGCCCAGTAAACGACGCGTAAGAACTCGGAACAAAAAGGGGCTATCAAATTCTACACTTTGAGGCTGGTTACTGGAGGTTCCAAGTGACGTCAGACGACTCAGATACTTCTACTGGAACATGAAACATTTTTAAACGCACGTGGATTTGATCACTGAAGCTTTGAACTTCCACCAAATGGGACGCAAAAAATAGGAACGATGGAGGTGAACGTCGGCAGGTATATGGCAAGACAACGTAGCTGGTGACGCGTGGTAACAGTAGGCTCACGCAGTGAACATCGTTTTGTGCATGGAAGCGGTCGAAATAAAGCAGGAAAGCTCTTGTACGGGTTCTCTTATTTGTTGTACAGTTTTTAGACCTAATTGTACCAGTAACAAAGTCATTCTTGTACTGCGCTTGAAATTTAGCAGTTTTTATCGGTTTTTCAAGATTTCTAAAGCGTTTTCTTTTTAGTTTACAGCATTAGTAGAGTTTTGTGAGAGTTTTTTTTTTCTCTTTTCTTAACCTGCGACAGACTATAGCCTTTTTTTTTTAGTATTAGATGCATTACACGGCTTTTCAGGAGGCCATGTGAAAAGATACGTTCGTACCCTAGCCGTGTTGTCCACGGATCCGGTGACGAAGCTGGTCTTGTCCGGGTGCAAGGACAAGCTGATAACGTCGCCTTCATGCGCCTCGTAGGTAGTCATCTTGACGCCTCTCTCCAGATCCCAGAGAACGCTGCAGGAAGTGAGAGAATCAAGATTTACCGAATATTTCTGCAGTGTCCAAAATCAACCGAATATCAGCGCAAAAAATAAAAATAAATGCAGTGTATCAGGCATTCCCAGTTGAAAGAACATTTATTTGCCCAGGAGATCCAAACTTAATAATATGTAAAATTTGAAAACTGCAGAAAATTTACTGCTGGCTACCTTGATCCTTATACAGTTCCCCATGTAAGGGAAATTTTCTGCAGTGTACACTGGCACTCGCTTTTCTTTTTGTCCAAAGAGGAGTTTCTTGTGACTATTTTTATTATGATACTTCTACGACGTCCACGAGAATGTTCATTAGACACAAGCTAATTATATAACTCTTACATCTTAACTAAGACATATTGGCATATTCAGTTCGAGTAGTACACAAAGTTTAAAATAAGTATATAGTCTTATTTTATGTGCACGTGCGCACGCGCGCGTGTGTGTGTGTCTTTGCGTTTGTGTGTGTGTGTGTGGGGGGGGGGGGGGGGGGGAGGGGGAGAGAGAGCAATATTTTGCGAAACCAGATTTGACATAATTTTTGCTTTTGAGTGCGCTTTTCCTAGTACACCTGAGGAAGTGGCGAAGCCACAGTCGCGGGGGCAGTGTGGCTTGTGACACTTTTCCGTAAACGCGTGCTCGTATTTTTTGAAACAGTCGTAGTTCAACTCAAATATAGAACATACGCGTTAATATTCTGAATCACAAGAAAAGTGCGCAGCGTTCTGGGACCACTGTGTAGTCGCAGACAGAATGAAAACGGCAGGGTGCGTCTTTTTACAGCGCCCGGCTTCCTGCACGCCTTCCATGCCTTCCGCCTTCCTTTGCCTGCTCCCACGGGCTCAAAGTTCACGAGACTCCGAAGCGTTGTCGACGGTTAGGAAACTCGTGTTCGAGGCGGGACAACCGAAGCTCATTTTTGCCGTTTTCACCTGGTCAGTGACTTTAGCTGCCATCCGCCAGCCGTGCCACCGTAATCCTACTGCCACGTACCGTCATCGGTGCTACCATCCGTCATCTAGCGTGTAAATGCACACTTCTAAGGCACTTCAGACGGTCCGCGAAAAATCACTTTCTTATCGCGCCGCAGTTTACTACGGAGGTGCAACCAAATAATAAAATTTTACAGTAAAAAAATCTATAGGTTTTTTTTTTTTTGGGGGGGGGGGGGCGCGGGGTTGGGGGGGGGGGGTGCAAGTTACGTTATCACTTTGCAGACGATGCACGCGTACAGAGAAGTGCTGCCGACAGATGGCGAATGCCGCGTCGGGGGAGCGCCGACCCATTCGGGTTCTTTTGCGAGATCGTCTGCCATCCACCGGTATCGGCTGGCGCTCCTTCGACGCTGCGTACGTCATCTGTCGGCAGCACTTCCCTCTACGCGTGCAGCGTCTGCGAAGTGGCGGCGTAGATTGCCAAAGAAATGTTTTGTTTTTCTTCTTAAACTAGGTAAGTTTATTTCTTTCTTTTTTTTTTTTTATTGTAAACTCCGCCACTTCTTTTGCACGTAGGAAACCGATTTTTGCGGGCCGTCTAAAAAGCCGCAAAAGCGTTAGTTTACATTCTGTCTATCAGCCAAACACCATAGGTAAACTGCCAAGACGGCAGTTGATCTATGGTGGTTGGCGTTCGCCTACCACTATTCCTTAAATTTGCTGGATCGGCGGCATACATTTGGCTGACTGCAGCGGGTCCGGTGCTCGACTCTTTACAACACTACACAGAAGACAATGATTGCGCATTACGTCAGTGCTAGCTGATCCCTTACTCGCCCCAAACGGCAAACTCGCTGAAGTTTGCGGAGAGTACGCGGCCAAGTGGCAGACGCCTGCGTTTTGGCATCGCCGCCTGCTAGCGTCGCGTTCGTTGGGAGACGCTGCAATTCGCGGGCGCGACGAAGCCGACAGAACGGTAGGCGATGCTGCGTGCAGGCACGTAGCCAGGGGGGCGGGGGGGGGGGGCGCCCCCCCCCCCCACCCCGAAATCCTCTATTTTGCTGGGGCCTCCTCTCCCCCTCTCGCCCTCATACAGCATTTTGTCATGGGCGCCCCCCCCCCCCCCCCCCCCTCCCCCGAAACAAAATCCTGGCTACGTGCCTGGCTGCGTGGACACACTAGAGTGGCTGACAGAATGAGAACGGCGTGTCTTTTTAACGCCCGGCCTCCAGCAAGCACACCCTGCATTCCTCCGTGCCTTGGCTGCGCGCTCTCGAGGTGCGCAAGACGCTGAAGTGTTCTTGAAGGTATGCGCCGAGAAACTGAGAGAGAGGAGCAGACGAGAGCGCGCGGGGACATCAGAATGTCGAGCTTCGGTTTGAATGATTAGTGGGTAGACCTAAAGCTAGCTACCGTTGTCTCTCTCCACTGCACTCGTCGAACCTGTTCGAATGCGACAGTCAAACGCCGACCGCCGGCATTCCGCGTCCTAACGCGTTCAACAAGTTCTGTGGACACAAAGGCTGCCTTTCACGCCACTGCACTCGTGAAACGGGTTCAAATGCGAAAGCCTGACGCTGCCGTTCCGCGTTCGACGAGTGCAGTGAAGACAAAAGCAGCTAGCTTTAGGTCTACCCTCTATATCATTCAAACCGAAGCTCGACATTCTGACGTCCCCCACGCGCTCTCGTCTCCTCTCCGTCAGTCTGGAGGCGGGATAGCTGAAGCTCTTTCCCTGCTGCTCTCACTTTGTTGGCGACTATTGCGATAACGTTAGACTGCAATGGTTCTCAAACTATTGGTCATCACAAACCTCCTGACCAACATAGAGGTCGTTCGGGGACCCCCGTGCATTCTGTATGAAAGGCCTTGCCCGATGGCATTCGAGGGTTATTTTTTAGAGCTCTTTTTTGTACTTGGCGCGAACGCACGTTCGCGACCGTGGATCCGCGCGTGGTCCGCGGATCATGTTTTGAGAACTGCAGCGTTAAAAGTTAAAAAGCGAAGGTCTCCTTTACGGTGCGCAAGTGAAAGAGGGGAGGAGATGAGGCGCGGGGAGGGGTGGGGGAGTGACTTCTTTTCAACCGCGCATCATCGCCTACCCTCATTCACTCGCACGCCGCATAGACACTGACAGGATTAGAAAAGCAGTAAGGTTCTTCAGTCCACCTCCGCCATGAGCCTGCTAGCTTCGCGATGACTTTTTGGCGTTTGTCAAGCCTCGAGCGTGCATGCGCAGCCAAAGTACGAAGGAAGGCAGCTTGCTCGTGCTAGAGTCCGAGCATCCGAGAGACAGACGCGCCCTATCGCTCTCTACCTGTCAGTGACTATAGTAGACAATTGCAAGCATGACGCCTCTGACTGGTGCCCCGTGATTGCAAGCATGTGCAGCACGCGCGTGAACGTAGCTCTAGCAAGCTTGCAATTGCACGGGCTCCTCCCCACACGAGCAGAGACACGGCTGCGGCCAGTGGCCTTCTTTGCAATCGTCTACACGGGTAGAAACCGAGGGAGAGGAGGAGATGAGAGGGGACGTCAGAATACCGAGCTCTGATTGGAAGGATTAGGGACGCAAAGGCGGCACTTGTCTCTATACCATTGTTTGAACGCGTTCGAACACCGAACGCCAACATCGGGCGTTCACGCGCGAGGAGCCAACGACGCTCTTGCTTACTCTGATTAAAAGGAGACAGCGGATAGAGACAAGGGCAGCTAGGGTTTTTGTATACCCACTAATCCCTCCAATCGGAGCACGGCGCTCTGACACCACAGCGAGGTCTTATCTTCTCTCTCTCTCTGTTTCTTAGCTCCGGGCTTTCAGTGTTCCTGCCGAGCACGCGCGCTCGTGCTATTGAAGCGTCGTTGAGGGCAACATGCTCATGCCGATAGCTTCGGCTTCGCTCGCGCGACGAGCGAACCAAGCTACAGGAGGCGGGGCTCACACGCGGGTGTCTCCGGAGCCCGTGATGACCTGCGAGTCTCCCAGGAAGCGGACGCTGGACAGGTAGCCGTCCATGCCGGTCAGCTCCCGGCGCACTTTGGCCCCGGCGCCGCGCAGGTCGTACACGGTGCACATGTTGTCCATGCCGCCCACGGCCGCGAAGTTGCCGTTGTCGTTGTACGCACAAGCCATCACCCAGCTGGAGCGCAGAGGTATCACCCGCATCTGGGGCCAGAGAGAACAACGGACCAGATAGTTGCGAGAACGTGGGCGCGAGCCGGTAGTGCATCCGCCATCCACAAAGGCGCCCTTTGTTGTTTCGGCCCATATTCCTTCTTGCGTTTATTCGACGCTGTTTTTGCTGCACGTGAATACTGAGCCCGCTGGACTGGTGCCGGCACGGAGGACAAGTAAGTGCAATTAGTGTTGTTTTTATTATTTTTTTTTTTATCGCGAGGCTTGGAAGTGTGGTTTGCAGTAGGCTTTCTAAGAAATCTGAAGCGCCTACTTGAAACAACGGAGGCAGCTCGGCGAACGACGAGGCTGACATTGTGTTTCCACCGAACAATCTGCACTGAGCATATATCTGCACTGTAAAATGGACCATGGTGAATAGACCCTTTTTCAAAAGCCCGCGTCAACGCCTGTCCGCCATTGATCGATCACGTACTCTGAGCATGTACTGGACACGAGAGCTGCGTCAGAGTTCGGCAAGCACTCAGATCCAATCGGACGCTTTAAGCAATGGCGACCGCCATTCTTGCTCGATAAACTTTTCAGGCTATTTCGACCAGGTGAAAACACAGCCTCGTCATTCGCCGATCGCAGCGACTGGCTCTCCCAACTGCTTCGAGGGAAAGTATAGACCTTTTCTGTGTACTCTCGCCCCAGCCACCTAATAGGCGTATCCGGTATGGGCGACGAAAAAATAATCCAACGTTTCAACCTGCAAATAGTACAAAAATAAAGGGGAGGCAAAACGAGAAAGTGTGACGGTTACGCTTATATCCTAAGTGCCTTCTATTGGCGTGGAAAAGGCAAAACAATGTTTTCGCCCATACTGGAAGTGACGTCAATTCAAGATGGCGGCGCACTTTGGCGTTCTGGCGTTGAAACATCGTACGAATAAGGGAATCAACGGATTGCGACGAAACTTTGCACAAAGATGCCTTTAGGTGGTGCGTTATTCTCTGGAGGAGGGATTATTATCGTCTTTCTTGTCCAACTCGCGTGAACCTTCGCATTTATTGCATTATCATTATATACTTAAAGATGCGCAGAACACCCTTGTTGGTGTTAGGCTGGTGGCAGCTGATAAAACCCGTTTGCTCTAATGACTTCTAACTTCTGGTTAGCTCAGTTGGTAGAGCGCTCCACTGAAGATAAAGAAGACTTTGGTTCGAGCCCAGGGACCTCTCGATTTTTTTCAGTCGCGCACCAGTCAGGATAGCTATGTTTGGAGGTTTCTGTTTGTCCCTCCTCCGCATTGTTCCCCTTCTCCAGGGATCATTATCGTCGATCGACTCCAGTTCTCGACTTCTGTGGATCCACGCAGCACCACCTAGTGCGTGTCGCCGCCAGTGCGTCTCGCAGCGTCCCACAAGGGACGCGACGTTCGCAGGCGGCGACGCTAAGACGAACGCGTCTGCCATGAAAGCGGCAGCCGCGTTCGACAAATATAATTTTCTTACTCGATGACAAGTTTGTTCCACTGAAATAAATGCCACGGGCATTAATTTCAGTGAAGCGTCCAGAATCGTATTTGTTGGTTTGACAAATGTTAGGCCTAGGTGGACGTGGGCTCACACATGCTAGTTTTCACTTCAAGAGAAAAGGAAGTCTTGCGCATTGTTCATACGCCGAGCGAAGTAGTTCTTACAAGATTTGGTTGTCGGACGAAGAGGGGATGTTTTTTGTCGTTTGAAACGTGTACCTCTTGATAAGATATCACATATATAATCTAAAATTCACCTATTCATATATCGTAATACTCTACATAAAGAGGGAAATTAGAAATGCTCCGCGAGGAACCGGAGTTCTTTTTACAACGGTTCTTGAGAGGAAAAGAGTATAGAAGGTTTTTGTTTTCGTTTGATCTTTTGGTCCTAACGCCTTATTCTCAAATTTGCAGATTCTGTCACCACCGCCAGAGTAACATTCACTCGGTGTTTCAGCTTTCCGCGGTGCATAGTTGAACTATTATACCTCAAAAACGGGGTTTCATTGACTCTATCCGACATCGTACTTTTATTCCTGAATAACGTGTGTGCAAGAGTTCCTTTTGTTTAATTTTCAACGAGCAAAACTTTTCCAATCTTCAGAAACTCTTTCTCCAAGGAAAGCAACGTTTTGAACATTGAACATGCTATAATTCGCCATCGAGGTACCGAAGAACGTTTGAAATTATGGACGTTTTCAAACGACGCGGCAACTGGAGAACTCACCTTGTTGCCTGAGAAGACGTCCCATATGATCAGTTTTCCGTCGAGCGAACCGGACACTGCCTTTCTGTAACAAGACGCAAGGGGATTTAGATGAAGATAGTGCGTGTACCCATGCTTTCGGCGCCAAAGCAATAGATAATCAGGTTGCTGTAAAAGGCGGAGGGGGGAGCGTCAGGCGAGAAGGAAAGATAGATAGATAGATGAATACGGCTGAGCCCTTTGGATCGGGCGGTAGCTTACGCCACCTAGCTATTTTGTTTTATCATTTAAGCTTAGAATATTTAAATGTGAAATCTATATTCACTCCGCAGTGCAAAGAAAGTGAGGCGATGAAACCCCCTTGCCATCAGTGAATAAGAAAATACCTAGTTTTCTCTCGATTTCTGCCACCATTCACTTAATCTTTGCTTGGTAATCTCTACAGTCTTGAAATCCACTCTCCCTTCGCTGTCTCTAAAACCCAATGACTTTATTAACTCTATGTTGTCTTCGGTAGGCATAGGGTGAAGCCCTTTACAGTAGAGTATCAAGTGCTCAGCCGTCTCGTCCTCCTCTCCACAAGCAGTGCACACTGTATCCATTTTCTGGTACTTCACTCTGTATGTTCTGGTTCGCAGAACACCCGTCCTTGCCTGAAACAACAACGAGCTTCCCCTAGGATTGTCATAAATGCTTTCTTTGGCAATAACTGTTTTGTTTAATCTATAGCTTTCCAGAGCCGTCTTTGTCTGCATTCCCTCTAGCCACCGATCTCTTTCTGTGGCCTTAACTTTCTTCTTAACTGAGACTTGCTCTTCCGTATCTTCGTTATGCGGAGGGCAAGTTCGTCTGCTTCTTGCGCAGGGGGTAGCGGTGACGTCAGAACGTCGATCCCTGATTGACTGATGGCGACCCCCTATCTGAGCGTCGTCTGCTCCTTTGCAACGTCGTCTGCTCGCAACGTCGCCTGCGTCTGTCTTACCTTTCCTGCGACTTTCGAAAGTGCAGAGGCCAGAGGCCAGGTTCACAAAACGATCTTACGCCAAAAATATGCGTAAGACAAAACTTGAGAACAAATTCGTTTTGACAAAACGAAATTTTCGTAAGTTTTGCGCAGCTTACGACGAAATCCTACGACAGCTCCGAAGCTCTCTTACGCATTTCTTATGATCAAATCAGCATGGCCGACAGCGTCGCGGTCGGGACGACCAACCGACGTTTATTTTTCTACGTGCGCTTCTCACGCGTCCCGACTTCAAGCATCAAGAAGAAAGTAAAAAGTACTTGAAGCAGACCACGACGAACAAGAACTCTGGATCCACAAACACCCGGGAAAAGTTCCAACGGCCACGATTCCACCGACAACGACCAAGCGAGCACGGCAGATAGGCCTAGCAGGCACTCCGACTCGGCGACCGTCTGCCCGCGACCGTCTGCCCGCGACCGGCTGGCGTGCTGAATGGAATATGCCCGCGCGACCCTTGTGAACCCTTCCCGTCTTATACTTTGATCGCTGACCTCAATTTTAGATTAAGAGGTCAATCTCTTCCTCTTGTCATCTCCTTGTTTTCCGAGGCAACGGTGACTCTCGCCGGTAAAAAAGCGGTGAATCTCCGACAGACGCAGGAAAGGTAAAGCAGCCATCGCAACGACTAGCGGACGTAAAGCAGACGACGTTAACTGCGCCAACCCGCCGACGCCTTTAAAGGGGTTATGACATGAAAATTAAACGGATAGATTATTCTTGAAATAGAATGCTCATAGGCTACTTAGTATATACACCAAGTTACGCGATTTTTATAGCTCTGGTAATAGCAATATTCAATTTACGAATTTTTATCATTTTCATCTGGCGACCAGGCAACACTGCCCAAGTTAGTCACACCATGGTGTCCATAAACCACGTGACCATGAACACTCTCTCATTCTAGGCGCCCCCATGATTGCTCAAGCTCTCCTCGTCGCGGTAAGATCAAAACCGCTCACACAACTCGGTAACCCGAAAGCTATTCTCGCTCTCACCCCCAGCCCGTTGACCTTCCACCCTGCATGCGCCTGCGAGATATTCCGGGACGACGGTGACCACGGCGAGTTCGTCCGTTACTCGTCGTCGCTGGAGCTGGTCGCCAGCGGGTCGCAGTCAAAATGAACAGCTTCCAACACCTCTTGATAGCAATCACTTTCATCGCTACTGCGATCAATGTCGAACACTTCGACAAGGCGAGCGATGCCGTAGACGTAATCGTCACGGACCGCATGTTCGAAACGTGGAAGGTAAACGAGGAAGCTGCTCGATACGCCAAGAGAGCCAAGACTGTGAGTGCGTGCAAGGAGACACCGCGCTGGAGGCTGGCTACGTCATCAGCCTCCAGGTCCGCCCGGATCTGCCCCTCCGAGGAGCCCGCATATAAATCGATTTATCCACGAAATTATCGCGCCTTTTTTAAAACAAATTTAGCAGGATTATAGGAACATACAATGGGTCCTAGCAGTACCGTTATCTCATATTTTATTTTTGACGTGTCATAACCCCTTTAAAGAGTGAGAAGTCTCGCCGCACACGAAAGGAGGGAAAGAGTATTTGGGAGGGAACTTGCAGACACTAATTACCCTCACTCTCGGTTCTTAGCAAACAAACCTCGGCGCCTCGGGACACCTCGCCAGTGAGTCCTCTGACTTCCCTCCTTGATGCGCGTCTGCTAGTTGTTAGACAAAAACAACGTACCGCTCGAATTATTTTGTCTGCCCTCTCTGAAAGGCGAAGTCGAGTTCGCTCGACTTCCGAAAGTCGCAGGAAAGGTAAGACAGACGCAGACGACGTTGCGAGCAGACGACGTTGCAAAGGAGCAGACGACGCTCAGATAGAGGGTTGCGATCAGCCAATCAGGGCTCGGCGTTCTGACGTCACCGCTACTTCCTTTCTCATGCGGAGAAGACGAAAATGAGCCCACTTGCGAGGCGTATAGCCCAAAAACTTTCCTCTTAATTTCCTAGTGCGCTGTCTCCACTTTGTTTCTACACTCCTCATGTATAAATAGCTGAAAACCTTTCGTGCCCATTGCTCCCCATCCATTTGCCTCAACCTATCCTCAAATTATATCTTGCTCACCGCTTCCCTGCTTTCAAATGACGCCCATCCCATGTCTCCTTGTACTCCCTGGTTTGGCGTTTTGCAATGTGCCCCCAAAGCCAGTCTACCTACTCCGCGCTGTTTTATTTCTAGTCTCGCATGCACTTCGGATTTCATGCATAGAACTGCGTTTCCAAAAGTCAAGTCAGGCACCATGACCCCTTTCCAAATCTCTCTCACCACCTCATACCTGTTGTAATTCCAAAGTGCTCTATTTTTCATTACAGCTGCATTTCTGTTGCCCTTACCTATTATATACTTTTCATGCTCACCGAGATATTCCGCACCATCACATATCCATACTCCTAGATACTTGTATTTACTAGCTCTCTCAACTGTAATATTCTGTATCTTCAGCCTCTCAACTTCATCCTCGTTAAAAATCATGACTGCTGAAAGCATCTTGAAGGCAGCGCCCTGCAGGTGTCGTAAGGCGAACCACGCCTCGTTTCTTTTTGTATTTTGCGAGAAAAAACAAAACAAAAAAGAATGACCGGTTGCTTAGCCTTCTTTTCTGTATTGGGTGTATGAAGATGCACTGAGAGACTGGGAAAAGAGGGTACGTCGTAAATAAAAATATATTACAATTTCTTTTAGACAAGAATTAGAGGTGAGTTTCGGAAAGTATACTCGCGAATCTTTGAGAGCCCCACCTCCTTTATATCCTCTTTATGTAATGTTATGTCGTTTATCTCTCAGTCTTGGCAGCCGGTTCTGGCGTCGAAGGCGCTTCCTTCTCTTTAGAAGCAGCGCTCTGAAACCGGAAGTGCATGATTGCAAAAGCTCCGTGTCATTCGAACTTCCGAAGTTGAGATCCAGTATTAGTTATGTTAAACCAGCGCCGTCTCTCGTATACTGTTACAATATTCAGAATTGACCAAGGCGGAAGACTCGACCAGTGATTTCTTCTCGCATATTTTTGTGATGTCGGCTTAGTTTTTAGACATGAACGGATAGCCATTTTTGTGACCGAATTAAAAAGAAATGAATCGAATAGTCATGACTTTCGAACAGCTTCAGCGAGAAACGAATAGCTTCAAATTTTGATATGATAGTGCTTTTCTTTTAATTGAAAACCTGCGTTAGAAAGTGTTCTAATGGTAATATGGTCCTTGTACCCACTGCAGGGCGGTAACAACTACTTTACATAGGAGAATACATTCTACTTCGGTCATTCGCGCTATAGACAGCGCGCCTTCATCACCGATTCCTCCCCGAGTGGTTTGGAAACTCCAGACCGAGAGAACGCATGTGCATCGCGCTGCATCGAGGAAGATGGCTGCAGCCAACGCACCGAGATACCGGATTTGCCGAGACAGCAGAGACGGCTCTCTCCGCTGTCTCGATGGGTTTCCACGACGATAGACGGTGGCAGCCGCCCCTCCCAATTAAAAGTGGAAAACCCGAGCCTCCGCGCATCTCTCCGTTCCAACTACGCAAAAGTTGTCGACGCCAAGACCGTTGGTTTTTCGCGGAAGGGCCGCGGTCAGCTACGGGCCGGTCGGAAGACCTTTGGCCCGCGTGCTCGGGGTCTGGAGACTCCCGATATAAATCAAACTTTTCCCGCAAACGTAATCCCAAAAGTACATTTTCATTTCCGTTCGGCTATCATTTAAGGCTTTTGTGTGCATCTGTTTAGTATTTAAATCAAATGATCATCGAGCAATAAAGATTTATATCAGTCTATACACGAACAAAAATCAGTTCTCTTTTGAGGAAATCAGCACGTCGAGCTTCCTTTCTACCTTTCACCTTGTTCGTCAGTTACGTGACGCAAAACAGAACGCAAAAAAACGCAATCTAGAAATGTAATGTTCTATTACAAGCAAATCAGAGCTCGAAAAAAAAAAAGAGCTTTTTAAATTTAGAAATGAAGCTGTTTTTGTTCTAGCATGACAGCTTTCACATCAATATAAAATTATTTAATTCAATCTCAGTGATCAGACGTATCTATAATCAATTGGCCATGTTTAAAAATGCATCTAGAGATAGAAAAAATCGCTAGTTTCTCACTACAGCAATTTAAATCAAATTGTTACGATTTAAATCAAATAAATCTAACTAAACTGACTGCGAAAAAGATTTTTTTTTTTTGTTGAAACTAAATGCAAGTGTGTGAACCAGACTTAGATGCAATCCGCAATAATCTTCACCCTCCTCTCTCTCTCTCTCTCTCTGTCGTTCTCTATCTTAGTAGTGCAGGAAAGACGGCACATTTCGAGAAAGTTTTGCGCGTACTTGCTGTCCCCGCAGAAGTGGGCGGACGTCACTTTGGAGATGTGTCCCTTGAGCACCTTGCGCTGCTTGAGCCTGAACCGAGCCTCCTTGTCCACGTCCTTCAGGGCCTCGGCAAACGTCTTGTCGACGGCTGCTTGTTGGGCTTCCTGGAACGTGCACGCGGCCGCCGACGCAACATAAACAACGCCGGCTATAAACGGCCGCGGGGCTCCCACCCCTCCCACACTCTCGGTCCGCGATGGTGTGCTGGCAGCTCAACGTCTACAGCAGCGAGTAACTATCCTTTGTCTTTGACGGCGGCTTGATACGTTTCCGAGCCGCCGCCTGGGGCTCCGACGCCAAGCGATGACCAACGGATCCCCAATAGGCATTTTGCTAAATTTATAATAGGGGACCCGCTTTGGGTTCCCCAATCAAACTTAGGGAGTCGTTCTCAGCGTCCGACTTTGGTCGGCGTTGCCGCGTTTACTTTGGTAGCAGACGGAATTCGAAAGATGACGACTGTCGTTGGTGGCTTCATACGCTGCGTTATCGTTCCTCCATAAAGAAGACGCTTATTTCGTTGCAATGGTGACGCTGACAATAGCAACAGACTTGATCGTGCGGAGGGAGACGGCGAGGTCAGATGCTTACTCGGAATGTTTGCCGTGTTCTTTAATGGGTAGAACGTGAACAACTAGAGTTCGAAACGGGGACTTAACGCTGATGGCTGATTTTCTCCATTGCCTAATATTTTGACGGGCCTTACACGAAAAGTATGTTTTTAGCTCGCAATTTCGACAAAGTTTTTTTTTTTTTTTTGTACTGCAACGTGGGGCTAAACTACCGATGTGCCGAACCATAAGACTGAGTCAATAAGTATTTATTAGGGTATTTTAGCCAACCGTTACCGTGTTCCGCGTACCGGACTATACCGGGGCCTTTGAAGCATGCTTTTAAGCGCGCCCAGCGGTCATAGTACCACTTGGGCGCGCGCTCAAAAGCATGCTTCAAAGGCTCCGGTAGTCCGGTAGACGGAACACGGTAACGGTTTGCTAAAAGTCCCTATTGTCCCGGGGAGGGGCAATGGATGGAAACTGCCGTGGCGACACCGTCGTGTGAAGGTGTTTGAAAAGATACCTCGAATCACTCGCTCGCTGCCAGAGATCACTCCGAGTGTGCTTATCATCGCTGTCCAGTGATAGTTTAAGAATCACTCTAGGATCACTAGGAAAGAAATCACGTGCATACACACACACATACAGATACACCACGCACACACAAACACACACACATAGTGGAAAGTCTTCGGAGATGCATTCTATACTCAATTACTTTTCCTGGCAATGCTGTCAGGTTAATTGGAAAAAAAAAGTCTGAAGCCTAGCTTTGGTTTTCACATGCAGCGCAATGCTAAACGGAGTTTACTTATTGTTGAGTGGATGCGCTAAATAACATTATGAGTAGAGGTTAATGCGGATGATTGAGACGTTGTCTGTCTTTCTTCTGCATTTCGCACGTTTTGTGCCTCTAAGTTTCGCACACCTCCTTCAGGTCCTATAATAGACGTTTCTGTTCGCATATTCGCCATGTTGTATTTTGAAGTAGCATGGTTGAGGGAAAATGTCGTTTGTAAAGCGCTAGAATAAAAAAAAAAATAAACAAAAGGTTTATGCCGCTAAATTCTGTTGCTTTCCCCGGCTGTTCTTTTTCTTTTTTGACTATTATTAAAGTTCTGTAGAAAGTCGTTTTTCGTTGCCTGCGACGGCCTTCAACGCAACCACTGTAACAAGAAAACGTTTTTTTTTTTTTTTTTTTTTTTTTTCGCTGGCAGCTGGCAAACGCTCTGCGTCGAAATGTTTTTTACGAGATCCCGCGCTGATGGGATCTCGTTATGGGCACGCGGGAGCGCACCTATAAAACAAACAAAATAAACGCAAGCTGTAGAATTCGCCTTGTACAGGCTGCCATCGTTGTTTACTGGGCTCCCGCGGGTGATAAGCGCCGCGAGGGGCTCGGAGTTGGACTCTCGGCGAGAAAGTCGGCGAGATGGCCGACCACCGCGCTTCGGATTGGCCAGCACCAGAAGGTCAGGCGCAGTGCAATGGCCAATTGCATTGGTCGGCGACCTGGCCGACGTTTCCGGCCGAGTGTCCAACTCGGAGCCCCAGGTCCACGCACCAGCGTGGTTTACACTTACCTTGATTTTGGTGCGGAGGTCCTCCAGTTCCTTCTTCAGGTCGGCTAGGTCCTCCTGAAATGTGGAGGATCTCGGTTTCACCAGGATTTATTGAATTCCCTCTAGATGTACGTTTCTTTGCTACGGTTGTCAGGATTCCCTATACGAAGATGCTGGAGTATCGTCGATTTCTTCCTATGGCCATCGAAAGCTTAAAGAAACCTCGGGGGGGGGGGGGGGGGGGGGGGCTATTATCATTATGAACGTACGCCTCTTACTTCGTGATTGGTTCTTGGACGTTCTGATGGGCTAATTCCGCCATCTGATCGGCTGAGGGAGCGATAATGAGATGACTCTCCACGTCCTGCAGTCGTCAGACTGCTCGTATCAAAAGACACGTGGTGGTCGCTCACATTGTCCGAATTACCAAAAATTATCCTAATGCAACTCGCGCAGCCACGTGTGACCTCACACGTATCTGTGACGTCATGACCCTATCGACCCGCGAAATTTGGCGAAAAAGTTTCCCGGGGAAAATTCCAATGAAAACACGTGACGTCACATGACACGTGACGCTACCGACTAGACCACGCACACACGATTGCACGGCTTGGGAACGAGCGCGGGTCTATGTGAAAAGGCTTTGCGTACGGGGCCCGATAACGCTATCACGTTCCACTCTTAAAGGAGAAGCTTAAGCGTCCCCCAAGTTTTTTGCGGGGGTGACTAAAGGTACGCAGCAGCGGTAGGTCCTAACCTCGTCGTCTTCAAAACTGTCCCCCAACCAGACAGATTTCTGCCGAGTACTTTCATGTTCGCTTCATTCGTGACTTTCGAGCATGGCTGCAGAGAGTTTCTATATGACCAACGTCATACAAACACGCCTCAGGGACCGGACTGTCTTTTGAATTATGTATTAGCAGCAAGGTGGAATAAAATCACGATTAAAAAATCAGATTTATTTGGTTTAAATCAGATTTATTTGATTTAATTCAGACAAGATTTAAATCACTTCAGCTAGAAAAAAAGTGACTTTTTATCGCTAGACGTGTGTTTTTTTAATGGTTGCCTGATATAAATATTTCTTGCTCGACCATTCTTTGAATCATATACAAAATAAATGGCCGGGAAGCAAACAGCGATAGAGAAACGGTAAATAGAAAATATCTTCAATACCGTTCTGGTGAAAAGTGTTTGATTTATATCATTGCGGTCAAATCGGTGCGATTTAAATCCTAATTGAAATCACGATATGAATCCTGATTTAAATCCCAATTTGATTCATATTTGAATGCGAAAGCATTAACTGTCTCAAGGGGCGAGCCGACGTCATCAGCTTTGAAACCATGCAAAACGGCACCTTAATGAAACCACGCGCAAAGCTAGCCAACGGCACGTTTTGCACTTTGATCCCATTGGCTGGCGCGCGTCGACGAGGCTCCCATTGGCCGCTGCGCGTCAGTCTGTGTGGTGTCATCCTGACTGTATCACACTGTTGTGTTATCACTGATCACCGCGTTCTCTCGCCTCTTATCGGTTGTACGGCGCGTGGCAATATATGCGGCGCACGGAATAAACCAAGGGGTTCGTACTGCTGGGAACTGCGTTGCTGTGTGTTCCTTCCTCGCGCCGCAAGGCACCCAACAGTTTGAACGATCGCTCAGCCGATGGCGCTGAGTGTCCGCGAGGCAGCGGCTCCACCGTTTCACGCCCAAAGTCAGCGCGTTGTACGCCGCAGATTAAAGGGAGCGAAGAGCGGCGTGAGTGCTTTCGCATTCACAACTCATAAGAAGTGCTTAGGTGTACCTCGAGCCTTTTATTCTCGTCCCATTAGCAATGTGACCGCATGGTATAGTGAGTGTTCTTCGAGCGTTTGCTAAATTCCGTTTCAGCGTAACTTGGTAAAGGGCGGAAGTTACTGCCTCCGTAAACCAACCAGAAAAAAGTGAACGGAGTGAATTACGTGACAGTTCTCCATGGCGGGAGTGTGCACTCCAGTGGTGCGTTGTCACGTTCATCGTTCCGAGGCCCCGTTTGGTTCACAGGGGCCGTGGATTCGGCCTTTGTTGAAACGCATTCTAACCGGAGGGGAACACCTCGAGGCGCTTGCATAGTCGCTCGAGCATCAGAAAGCTTTCGTAGATCGTATTCGCCGTCCCGCAACGCTCTGCGCAACCCGCCCCACAAGATTCGGAACCCCGCAGCGAAGGGTATATCAGTATGCACCTAGCGCACTAGCAGCGTCTCCGTTGAGGAGAGCGCATGGAGGGAGAAAAACTGCACCTCCCTATTATTACCGGGTGACTTGGTCTGAATCGCATGAAACAGAGCCTTCGAGAACGTAGTAAAACGATGCTGCAGAGAGTTTTAGAAGATCCTTTGACGATGACTCCGATAAGGATACCCGATACCCCGCCGCCGCCTTTGCGCAAACATCGTATCGTTATCGGAGGTATCGGAACGAACTACCAAAACTCTCTAATAAGATACTCGCAACACGTTACCTCGTGCGCTATCCGTGACAGGAGAAGTTTAAGCCCTATTTTATAAAGTAGTTTGGGTCTGGGGGCATTTGGTTCCAAAGGAGAAGCGGCGATGGAGCATCTTGCGATAGTATAATATGCAATTAAGATATGTTTAACGCTGCTTTTTCTACATAAAGTATTCCCACTAGAACGTTTTAGTTTATGCAATACCTTTTATTAATCTTTTGCAAACTTGGCGCTCGTGACAACACTTTCCCAAAATTGGAATCGCCCTAACTAGTGGCCAAAACGTTAGGAGGATCCAAGAAGAAAAAGAGTATATCCAACGCGGATCTTTTGTTTAAGGAACGGCATTCTTTGAGTTTTTGGGTGTACTTTTAGACGACCAAAACAATTCGATGTTTTATAATGTGTTATATGAGGCCGTTGTCTTAAAATTAATTTCTGGTCGTCTTTGCCTTTGATCGCATTTCTGATAGTATATTTCTACGACATGAAACCTAAATAAAAATAAAAAAAAAACAGAAATTTCCGTACAAAAAAAAAGGACAAGGATCTTGTTTGCGTGTGTGCGCGTCGGTCTTGACTTTCAAGGCAGCCAAGCATACATTTTAAACCTTTTATACCCCTAAGGGTGTAAACTATTTCAGAGACTCCCAGCCTCATGACAACACCTTTTCAGCACCTTTATTTCGAGTAAAACACCCTTTTAGTTGCTAAATAGAGCGCTGTTGTATGAAACCCTTCACCTCTATTTTTATGGGTGTAAAAAGGGTATAGAAAGGTGTGCTGCTGGGGGCGGAGGAAGGGGTGCAAGTGAGCTTACACCCGATTCGAACAGCTTCAAGGAAGCTTGTTTTAGCGACTGTATCGGATTAATGGTTGACCAGTGCTTCTGACTTGGAGATACATTGCTTGAAATTCGAGGTGTTACGCTTAATGAAAAATATCAACGAGAACACAGCAACGTCCTTGTGACCAATTCGTAATCACGAAGGCGGTCGCCTGCGATATGAGAGTCTTTCAATCGTCGAGTATATGGAGTGGGGGAGCAGTCGGGGTCGTGATTCCGGAATCGCGTAAACAGTTTCTATGCTGCAGTTATGGTTTCTGTGTGCGTGCAACTGTACGTGGTGCGCACGGCTTATAAACGCGTTGTTCATAAAAATGTCTCTGCTGTTAAGACTCGCCGGAACCCTGAAGCCGGGATCACACTGCTCATACATCATGCAAAAGACAGTCTGCTAACACGAGTCGCCGCAGTATCCGTGGTTCGAATGCCGCGTGCCAGGTTTTTCCTTGAGCTAATTGCCAGGCGGCATTCGAAGCACGGATCTCGCGGTGACTCGCGTTCGAACCTGTGTGCAGACTGCCTTTTGTATGGTGTATTACCAGTGTGACCACGAGTTTAATATCGCGACTCCAGTTCACTCGAGGTGGCGCCACTGGTTTTCCAAGATGGCGGTTGTAGTGAGGGTCGGAGATGCGTGGCCGCGGCTGGGCCGTGCTGGGTGCTGGCTAGTGTGCTGGCTTCACTGAAAGACAAATTATTTTCTGCTTATACGAAGAAGCTAGGGTGTTATGAGGGCAGGTGGTCTCTTTATCCACAATACAAAGACGGTGTTTCGCGTACTATATACGTCAGAAGGCACATTATAATTCTTTAACGAAACCGAAACTAACCTTTATTTTGGATTAATTTTGGATTCTTTTATAACTCAAAATGTGTCTCACAGCGTAATTATTGGGTTAAAGAAGTTGTTCGGGGAAACTTTATTTTGTGACATACGCGCCCGATCCAGGCACTTCAAAATAGTTTGAAGAGTTTATTGTCCCTTTAATGTAACATGGAATACTGCATTTGTTGAAAAGATCATGTGCTGATATTTGTGCGTCCTCGCTGCCTTTTCTTGCTCAAATAATTGCCGTGTGAAATAATGCACTGCGGGCCTTTTAATGGGTTCTGGGGTATTTAGATGAATGATAGCTTTCACCAAGGATGGGCAGTATTTCAAATAGAAGTATTTGAAATACGTATTTCAAATACTTTGTGTATTTTGCATTTGTATTTAATTACAAATTGGGTAATGTATTTGACGTGTGTATTTAAATACTAAAACGTGGGTATTTCAAATACAATTGTAATTAAGTACAATTTTTGTGGGCGAAAATACATCCCTCAAATTTATTGTCACTGTCCAGAGCAGGAAGAAAACTACGTTCTGCACCGAATACACTGTCTCTCAATCAAGCACAAGCGTTTAGTGACTTTGCGATTACGGTGCTAGTCCAGGGCAAGAATAGTGACGAAATCGGCGTTCACAGGCAGACTGGCTAAATAAGTGCCTGTGACAACTTGTGATGCTTTCCAGCCTGATTTCCATCCATATTTTTGCCTGGAACATTCTAAATGCGCGGGTCGTCCAGATTTTCGTAACTAGTATGAGTTGCAACAATAAAAAATTCTCTAGCTAGTGCTGCACGTCTTGGTCGTCTCGGTTCTTTGTTGGTCTATACCAAAATGTAATAGACAAAAAAAAGCTGCTTGAAGCTCTGTACTTTTTTCACCTATTACGTCCAAGGTGATTA